GGTTGGGCGAACTCCCATGAACCCTCGAGTATCCGATGGAGAGTATAGAGCTGGTCCAGTGTTCCGCGACCGGGACGAAAACCACACTGCTCCTCCTGAATCCGAGATTCGACCATCGGACGTAGCCTCCTCTCCAGTACCTTGGAGTAGACCTTACCGGGGAGGCTGAGGAGTGTGATCCCACGATAATTGGAACACACCCTCCGGTCCCCCTTCTTGTAGAGAGGGATCACCACCCCGGTCTGCCACTCCATTGGCACCGCCCCCGATCGCCACGCGATGTTGCAGAGACGTGTCAGCCAAGACAGTCCTACAACATCCAGAGACTTTAGATAGTCAGGACGGATCTCATCCACTCCCGGCGCCTTGCCACCATGGAGGCTGCCAACCACCTTGGTGACCTCGGCCAGGGAGATGGAAGTATCCGCCCCAACATCCTCAGCCTCTGCCTCCTGGACGGAGGACGTGACGGGGGGATTGAGGAGAACCTCGAAGTATTCCTTCCACCGCCCGACAATATCCCCAGTCGAGGTCAGCAGCCCTCCACCCGCACCATACACGGTGTTGGCAAAGAACTGCTTCCCCCTCCTGAGGCGCCGGACGGTTTGCCAGAACCTCTTCGAGGCCGACCGATAGTCATGCTCCATGGACTCTCCGAACTCCTCCCAGTCCCGGGTTTTTGCCTCTGCAACAGCCCGGGCCGCGGCACGTTTGGCCTGCCGGTACTGGACAGCTGCCTCAGGAGTCCCACGAACCATCATTGCTCGATAGGACTCCTTCTTCAGCCTGACGGCATCCCTTACTGCCGGTGTCCACCGGGACCAGCACCAGAGACCTTGCGACCACAGCTGCGAGCCGCCGCATTGGCGATAGAGGAAGAGAACATGGTCCACTCGGACTCGATGTCCCCCTCCTCTGCCGGGACCTGGGAGAAGCTCTCCCGGAGGTGTGAGTTGAAAGTCCGTCTGACAGGGGGCTCACCAAGACGTTCCCAGCAAACCCTCACTACACGCTTGGGCCTGCCAGGTCTGACCGGCCTCCTACCCTGCCAGCGGATCCAACTCACGACCAGGTGATGATCGGTTGACAGCTCCGCCCCTCTCTTCACCCGAGTGTCCGAGACACGCGGTCAAAGGTCAGATGATACGACTACAAAGTCGATCGTCGACCTCCGGCCTAGGGTGTCCTGGTGCCACGTGCACTGATGGACACCCTTGTGCTCGAACATGGTGTTCGTGATGGACAGGCCGTGACTGGCACAGAAGTCCAACAACTGAACACCGCTCGGGTTCAGATCAGGGGGGCCGCTCTTCCCGATCATCCCTCTCCAAGTGTTACTGGCATTTCCCACATGGGCGTTGAAGTCCCCCAGGAGAATAACGGAGTCCCCGGGCGGTGCACTGTCCAGTACCCCTCCCAAGGACTCCAAGAAGGCCGGGTACTCTGCACTACCGTTTGGCCCGTAGGCCGTCACAACAGTGAGAGACTTGTCCCCCACCCGGAGGCGGAGGGACGCGACCCTCTCATTCACCAGGGAGAACTCCAACACGTGGCGGCTGAGATGGGGGGCAATGAGTATGGCCACCCCAGCTCGCCGCCTCTCCCCGCGGGAAACACCAGAAAAGTGGAGCGTCCAACCCCTCTCAAGGAGTTGGGTTCCAGAGCCCAAGCTGTGTGTGGAGGTGAGGCCGACTATCTCTAGTCGGTATCGCTCCACCTCCCCCACAAGCTCGGGCTCCTTCCCCCCCAGTGAGGTGACGTTCCACGTCCCAAGAGCCAGATGTTGGGTGTGTGGACTGGGTCGTCGAGGTCTCCGCCTTCGACTGCTGCCCAGTCCTCTCTGCACCTCGCCACCACGGACCCCTCTGCAGGTGGTGAGCCCACAGGAGGGACTGCCCACGTCATCCCTTCGGGCTGAGCCCGGCCGGGCCCCGTGGGCTAAGGCCCGGCCACCAGGCGCTTGCTTGCGAGCCCCGACCCCAGGCCTGGCTCCAGGGTGGGGCCCCGGCTGCGCCATGCCGGGCGACGTCACGGTTCTCATTGTTGTGCTGTCCATGGTTGGCTTCGGACTGCGCTTCGTCTGACTCGTCACTTGAGACCTGTCTGCCATGGGAGACCCTACCAGGGGCATGAAGCCCCAGACAGCATAGCTCCCAGGATCATCCGAGTGCTCAAACTCCCCCACCACGTTAAGGTGGCAGTCCAAGGGGGGAGCCACAGTAACTAAACTAATTCTAATCAGAAAAGAATTTCCAATCTAACTATGTGAAACAAGTCATTTCAGATTCAGATTCAGATTCAGTTTCATTTATTTGCCATTTGCAGTAAAACCACATTGGAAAAACTGTGCAAGACTACCCCGGTGTGCACCAGACAGAGAAGACGACACACACCAGAGCTCTTGCCACGGCGCCATCTTTACGGCGCCATGCGACAAACAGTAGAATAAACAGCAGAGAGCAATAACATACAGTTTCACAGACAGTTGGATAGACACATTGTGCTTTGTATAAAGCACGGATTTTTTCTCGGGATGAGCACCTCCGACAGCCGGCCAATGTGGCTGTCAGAGGGGGGCGGGGTCAGGGAGGGGGGTGAGTCGGAAACACAGTAAGGAGTGGAGGGGAGGGAGGGAGCAAGATGGATAGGTAGAGGGAGGCGGGGGTAGGGGATCCAAGCTGGAGACTGAATAGTGTGAGTTGTTGTAGATGGGACTTTTGTTATTATGGCCTTGGCCGAAGGAATGTGAGATAAGAGTGGAGAGAAGGCACAGGAGGAGAAAACACATTGCCTCAGGGGGACAATATTAATGCAATGTAGCAGTTAAAAGCAGGCAAATATTCTATTAAATCCAATTAAACCGAATTGCGGCGCCCTCAGACCCCGTACACAGGGGCAAATCCAAGCCGGGTCAGAGAGTTCAAGCCTGGCAAACGATGTCATTCAATCTCAACTCCAGAGTTTTATTCCCTTCGAGTGAACGAGCTGCGAGATCTTTTATCAACTGTTCCACCAAAACCACTCTCCTTTGTCCAGACACGGCGCTCTCAACCACGACGCGGCTAAGCTCCTTCTACATCCCATCAATTTTGTCGGCCAGCAGGTCGTGAATCTTGCGAACTGCCATGCCTCCGAATTTGTGGTAGAAGAGGATCGCTCCAAACCCAAACAGAAGGATTCCCACCACCAAAATGCCAAAGATATATACGTCTTCCGAATCTTCAATGGACAGGGTCGACAGACAGAGGGGCTGAAACTTGTTCCAGCTGTCAAGAGTATACCCCGCTGGTGAAGTCCCGTCCGGGCACACGGGCTCTCCAGACCCACGCTTACGTGTTGAAAAGATAGAATCAATTGCGTTGAGGGACCAGTTAATCATTTCCATTCTTGTTAAAGTTGTCTGTGGCAAAACTCCAGGAAAAAGACAAAAACAGGAGATAGCAAGCAGTCAGAAGCAGGAGCGGTCTGAGACACGTCTTTGCTCGACGGAGGCGGAAGTGACAAAAAAAAAAAAAAAAAAAAAAACTTAGGTACCTTCATAATATTAAAAAATTATAATAAATGAAACCCACTTATTCTTTTGGCCCCTGACCAGCCCTTTCATTATTTATTCGGCCCTCAACCAAAATAAGTGACACCCCTGCCTTAGAAGAAGGGGTTTTAACATTTTGACTGGCATATTTCATAATGCTTAAATTTTCATTTAATGTTTGAAAGGGAGCTAACATACAAGGTTGGTGCTCGGTAATGCAGTGGTTAGCTGTTAAGATATTTTTCTTTGTTCAGCAATATTCCAGATCCCAAATGTTGATATCATAGAGAGACACTCGTACACTGGAATGGAAGTGAATATGTTACATTAAATGCATTGAGTGTTTTCATTAAGGTTTCTAAAGTGAAGATTCAACTTTCTAAAGAAATAAAGACTAAAGAAGGAGATTTTTCAAGAACAAAGGGCTGTTGCTTTAAGCCCCCCTTGTAAGAAAGGGCTTTCAGAATGCATAGGCCCAGACTAAAAAGTGACATCTATTACAAAAGAGAAATAAAAGGATTTTGATGAGAGTGAAGTATAGTGTTACTTCTTACATTGTTCAAGCATGATATCAATCTGTATGTGTAAACTTTGCCAGGTGAGTGTGTGAGTGGGTGGGGTGCAAAATGGTGTGTCTTTTTTTTCCCTGGTATACTGTTAACACGACCAGCTTGTGTGGTGATCAAGGGCCGTACCAGTGGAGTGCAGACTGGGGTGGTGGTCCCTCTCTTCATGAAGGGGTGTGTTTGAATTATTGTGGGATCAAACTCCTCAGCCTTCTTGTAAGGTTTACTCCAAGGTACTGGTGAGCAGACTTCGAACAATAGTCACGTCTCTGATTTAGAAGGAACTGTGTGTACCTCATGGTATACCATTAATTTATACCATGAAGGATCATGGCAGTTTTGTTAAATTTGAGCTGCCTTGAGTATGAACTGTGCTTTACATCTTAACTTCCCTTGCCTGTTTAAATCACCGATCAGTGTGAGCAAATCAACAACTTTGTAAAGTCCTCAGAGATGAGAAGTTGTGATTTAGGGCCGTACATAAATAGTTTAATCGAAATGCTTTACCTTGAGGTTAAGCTTGTAACATTGAGGTCTGTTGGAAATGTTCCTGAACAGCCTGTGGGAATTTTTTTGCCTATTGTCCATGTGGAGATGGAAAGCAACACACTCCGCGTAATACTGTACATGATACATCCATGCTCCCTGCATTTACTTTACAGTTTTTGAACATTGAAAAACTTCAATAGTCACCTCCCTCATGGACAACACCTCTCCCACCCAAATCAAATCAATTCACTTTATTCTTGTATAGAACTTTTCCAGATGCCGTTACCATGACAGCTCCTTTTGTTTGTATGTTGTTGTTTGATTTGTTCAAACATTGGACACAGCATTAATTGTTGTTAAATACCTTTTACAGAGTTTTCCCTTTGTAAAAATCCGTCATCCCTGAGCTCATTATGGTAATAGTCCGGGCATGGTGTGTGGGTGCGCTTATCACCACGTTTGTACGGCTTCTGGTGAACACTGTGTTTCCTCCTCCTGCTGACACAGGTAAGAATAATACGAGTATAAACTAGTAGACCAACAAAACATAGGTCCTCAAAACTTCACCTAATCTCACAACATTGACCGTAGCTAGACTCTATACTAGACTGGACTCTGGTCTCTCCCTGGTCTTCGTCTCTGATATTTCCCTGGGTAGAGATTCTTAACTCTAGTAAACTTCAATGCTGTCTTATGTAAATCATTATGGACATATATCATACCATTTTACAGCTCAGAACTAAAGTGGCCCTCTACTAAAAAGGTTTTCTCAACATTTGATTTATTGCTCTCTGTGAAAATGAGAGGAAATCTAATCTTGAATCTTGAAAGTATTGTAAACAGTATTAGTGTTGTGTTTCTTGACATAGCATAAGCCAAAAGCAACTTCTTACACTCATGCAAGCAATAGCAGGTTATCTAGTAGGATGAAGACAGAATGTCGTGGTCAGATTTCACATTCCAAATTTATGAGAATCTGTTGGGATAAAACAAAATGTATTTGTTTAGAAAAAAAAAATATTATCCCTGCTTTGAAATGGCTATCTATTCAAATTCAGTCATGCACATTTGGTATAATTCGATGTTGGATATGGCTTACAACTATAAACATGAAAACCAGCAAGGGCGGTCAGTCGTAATCCTTTTCTGCTTGAATAGATTTTCTGCAAAGTACATTTTTTCCGTTGGAACATTGAAAAAACTATGTATATATGTATTCAAACATCAGAGAAAATTGCATACAGAGAATAAAACTGATGTGATTTTTGATGCAATGCTCTGTCATGATTCATTCTCACATAGTTCCAGATGATCGCAGCTCTCAACGCCCTGAAGAGTCCGACCCGTTTTGGAGAGAGCACGAGCGGCTGGAAGAAGACGCGCGACTGTCGAGGGGGCGCCAGGATCCGGCCTTTCCGTTCTGACTACAATTTTGACTTCACCATTGACTACACTAGCAAACTAGACGTGTGCAATGATGTCATGCTCAGCTAGAAATACTTGAGCAAATAAAAGAATAATTGTCTATAAATTATTATGTGTGCTGATGAAATCTGCAAGTTTCTTAGACTTTATTCAATATTGTGCCCAATGTTAAAGAAGAATCGGATGTGTAATTGATAACTAAAGTAAGCAGCAGCCGCAAAGATCATTAACAAGATTAAAATGCATTACCATTTTCTAAAAGTATAAATACTAAGTCTCGTTAATCTAATTGCATGACTAATATGCAGTGTTATAAATGAATAAGTACAATGAATAGGCTGTTCTTTGTCCAAGTGTCATGTTGTGCCATTTTCATCCCCTTTATTATTCCATTTGTGGGTTGGAGGGGTGACAATCAGAAGAAAAATACTCTTCATCTGCAATTTACCTGGAAATGGAAGAATTATTATTTATTTAAGTATAAAATGTTATGAAAAAGAAAAATAAATGACTGAAACAACATAACCGATATGAAAGAGAAAAGGTGAAATAACACTCAACAGATTTTTTTTTTATCTTGTAATGGTTTTAAAATATATACCTGTAGCTGTAACCCATGGATACACCCGATCATCAAAACTGATCATCCAAAACAAGTGTTAACATTGATAGCAATGAAAATCCACCATGTTTGTACTGCAGTGATATCATGAGCAATAGAAGTTTAAATTAGTTAACATTTTCACAAATGAATGTCTGGTCGTATCACACACTCATGTTGCTAACATGTACAGTAGTATCACACGCTCATACAGTATAGAGGGTTAACTTATTTTCATTACTAATGTATTAGTACAGAATATATTATTATCAGTAGACTAGAGTGAACAGGTCTATACTTTATGTGTTCATACTTGAGGTTTATTAAAAGATAAAGATAAAGATAATTATTTTATTTTTAAAGGATACAATTGCGCTTTACTCAATATTCACATTGGTTTTGTGTTTATGTGCTCCTCATTCCTACTGATACAACACTGACATTTCCTGACTGTGAGACAAATGAAGGATCTCTTCATCTTTATCTTAATCTTTGTCTCGGAGGTTGGATTTGTACTGCTTTATGCATGGCTTCAATACCTATTTTTTTGTTTACGCTTTATTTATTTATTGTCTGCCATAAAAGATTAATTTGACTTTGAATAATTGATTGATTGATGATTTGGAAGTTTGAAAAAAAAACACAATCACTGCGCTGGTCTGTACTGAAGGTGGCAGTTCTCAAACAAACCAGCAGAGGGGGCTGTCCGATTGAAGATGTTTGTGTAGCAAGTGAGAGGAGACCTAAACTTGATATTTGAGTTGTTTAATTACTTATATTTTACCAGGAAATTCCCACTATATTTCAGAATCTCTTTTTTTTTCTGGGGAACCTTGGCCCCAAAAGGAGTGGAGTTATTGCACATATTTCTAGTGGTAACCGAAACTGGAGCACCCGGAGGAAACTTAGGCAGAAACAGGAAACTCACATGTTAAATTACAACATGAAAACCTGTGGCTTATTTTGAGCGGCCTATAAGTGGGAGAGAAAAAAAATATATATTTTCAATATTTGTAGTTGGGAAGTTGTATTCCATTTTAATTTGGATAAGAACTACTAAAGGTTTCAAAATCAATGTATTTATTTTTTTATTCGTCCGAGTACCCGTGTAGACCGGAAGTAGATCTCCTTTATACTGAAAACGCTTGTTTACAATCTGTTAGTGTGTTTTTTGCGGTGGAGTTGGTGGATATTCAAGATGACAAGAAGATTGTGTTGCAATACACTGCTCACACATGCACTAAAGGGTGGATGGCCAAAGGAGAAGTGCCTATAAGTGGGGAAGGGAGGGGCTGATGGCACATACTGGTTGCCTCGCTTCTGTCTGTCTGTGCCAGGGCAGCTCTGTCTACAGTGGGAGTTTGTCACCCTCATGAATTGAAAATTAGTTTTGCTGTAAAGCCACTACAACAGTTAGGACTAAGTCTACAGTCAGATAAACACAGATAAACCAGATCTAAGTCTAAAACCAGACTAAAAGTTGTGATGTGATTGTTTTGTCACATAGACTTTCCCGGGCGGCAGCACAGCACATCTCTGTCATTCATATTTCAGCACGTGAAGACTACATATTTTACCAGTTGGACGTCCAGTGGAACAGGCTCTTTTCTCACTGCGCATGCCGACCTTACCAACACTCTGCAACGAACAAAACCAAAACAGGAAGACAGAATAAAACAGAAAGATTGAAAGATATGTGTAAACTCTCCAAACACTGATCAACTTCATCATTGTGTGACAGGTGAAATGTGAATGGGAATCTAATAGGACATATTATAGGCTTGAATGACAAATGATTTTGAAGGTTAAACTTAAAACCAATCATGTTGGGCTAATTTGGGGAGAGGGCTCTGTACTAAACCAGGTCTAAACCAGGACTGGTACACAATACCACGATCCCGTACCACTGAAATTTGGACAGAACATGGAAATAAATCAAGAAACCAGGACTATAATAAGTGCATTATAAACTCCAATCAGGATTGAGAGAGTAAACCAACAGCAAACTGATCCACAACGGTCTTGCAAGGGCCGATCCATGACTGAAGCAGGACCAGGACCAAAGCAGATCTGAACCAGGACTAAAGCAGATCTGAACCAGGACTTAAGCAGGTCTGAAGCAGGACTGAACAAGGGCAGATCCAGCACTGAAGCATAAGTAAAGCAGGACTAAAGCAGGACTAAACAAGGACTCAAGCAGCCTCAGACTTGAGCCCAATCATGGCAGCCTTCTGTGTCACATGACCCACTCCCCTAGAGTCATGTGACCATGTGTCTGTTTCCATGGCAGCCATGTGGAGTGTTTCTGTCAGAGAGGAGAGAGGTGAACATGCCCCTCGTGAGAGTGGGCTCGAGATACACCACTCGAAATAACAATATCATTCTTCATCAAATACACTCACAACAGAAACAGGAACGCTGAACCAGAGAAGTCTTGTTATGAGCACAAACCAAGACTAAACCACGACCTAACTGTTTGTCATTATATGTCCTTATATTTAATGTTAAATGTTAATTATAATTAACAGCCAATTAAGTACTAATTAGTGTACCTTTAGCCATATGGGAATGTGTCAGTTAGTAGCTGGTTAGATGTTGTTTAAATGCTTAGTAATAATGATAATAAATACCAATTAAGAGGTAATTAATCATAAATGATATACTAATAGGCAAATTAATTAGTGTTTAATTGGTAAGGACCAAACTAAAGTGTGACCTTCTGAACCAATTTTTTTTTTCCTGAAACAAAATCATATTATTATCATCATTCATGGACATTGGTCATCTGCCCGTTATGGCGCTCGGTGTTTTATTGTTGCATTTCTTGAGTTGAACTGTTGATTCTCTGATCTGTGTTGGCGAATTATACAATTTTGTTAAGTCCTCTGAGATAATTACTGTTGTTAATAATTACTAACCCTTTATGGCTATACAAGAAAATAATGAATTGAATTGAACAAACGTCTGTGACCTTCGAAATATTGGGAGATATCTAGAAAAAGATTTAAATGGAACCAGTTATGCTGGAATGGTCTGAATGGTCCAGAAATGGCAAGGCACTAGTCTATGTAAATAATTATTAACTCTGTCCGTATCATTCCTACATTCCTACAGAGAGACCTATGTTGTGGCTACAGTAGTAGTTTATCTCCACCGTGTATGGAGTAAATTAATAATGTCATGTGAATGTCCCAAAAAGCAATTTAAAAAAACGATGCATTATTATTACTGTTTCCTCTGCTTATTGCTGTTAAAGAGTTCAAACATATTTCCACAAACAACATCTCTGCAGTTTTGTCATAAATAAATCCCTAAGCGAGGCCAGCTTCAAGATAGGGAGCGCCTGTGAGCCAAGGATTTGGCTGCATCAAATTCCACTGGAAAGCCTCTTTGGCTGTTCTTCCTCTGCTGAGGGCAGCTACAGGTTTGACATACATGTAACACTTGTTAAGATATTTTAAAAGCCACTTATATCAATCATATGCTTCCAAATGAGATGCTTCCAATGACATAGGAATGATACGGACGGGGAGTAAAGGGTAAGAAAGTTGATTTAACAAATCGGACGCACACGAGAGTCTGCTGCAGCAAACAACAACGTATTTGTTGTTATTACTTTCCAAATGGAGTATTACATAATCTACATTCTAAACGGAGGATTATAAATCTATACTCAAACTATTATCTGGACTTAAACATGGCTGGTGTGAACTGAATGAAGTGGTGCATAGAGTTCATATAAGGTAAGACCATAACACACTTCAATGTGCTCTTTACTTTTGCGTTTTGTTTGAACAAACAATGTGTGAATAACCCTCAGCATGTTCTGTTGATATGTAGCGGTAAATCTGATTGGGATGAGGTCAGTGCCTCAGTCACCAACCTCACCACACGTCACTGACAGACTGGTTATGCCATCTCAGTGTTTTTATTAGAACAACTAAACTCGGTGAAAATGATCAGAACAGACAAACACATTATTGTCGCTGTTTTGAACTGCATCGCCACGAAGGCTAGTTTGCTAACCATTGCTGCTGTTGTTTCTTTCGTTAGGTTTAGAGTTTCTTTTCCTTGATGGATAATTACGACCGGTATTTTGTTTAAAACAAACATCTTTGTCTCACTCTGAGCGTTTACCACAATTAAAAATGCTGCAAAACTTTCCCATCACAATAAGTAAAGGTGCGCTCTCGGCCGCAGTGTTGAATCTGACTGTATAGAGTTTCATAACCTGCCATCCATGTAGGTCACGTGGTGGTGCAAAACCTCTATAGGATATGTTTTTTTGAAATGTACAGATTTTTATATTTGTTTGGTCCTGTTCTACACTCAATCCGTATGTGTCTGTGTGTCTATGATTTGTTTTGAAGAATTAGAGAAGAAAAATAAATTCTTAGG